TTATAGATACAATTAATTAGTAATTATTGTACCTCGTGGCATACAATTCAGGGAGTAATCATGGTCGTAGCTTGAAATCGGCCTCACACTTCGCGCTCGTCCAATTTTGAAATTACTTGTGCGATTACTTCCTGAATTGCACTCCACTCAGTCCAATCACTATTACGTAAGAAACCAAGACTGGTCTAAAACCCTTGTTCCAGAGTCCATCACACTAATCCTTACCCCACTGTGTCCACCTACAATAGCACATTCGTAAAATATAAATTTGTGGCAGTAAAGAGTGTTTCCACAAAAAAAGAATTCTCTGACACCAAGTAATACTGATGTGACTAAAACCCATACTAACAGCCTGGGGTTAAAGTTAGACGGTTAATTAAAAGTAATTTTTCTTTTTGTAAACGAGTAAGAACTTATAAGAGAAGAAAGAGAATAAAGTGCAGACATGCAGTCACAATACTAAATGGTTCCCTTTTCACTCAGGCCCCAGGTTATAGTGCTGAAATGAAGAAGGAATCTTTAGATGCATTTGAGTTTCCCAATGGTTCTGAATGGCAGAAGCTCATTAATGATGGGCGTTTCAAGATTTGAATACAATAATTTTGATAGGAAAGTAAATTGTAGAAATATTTTTTATTAGACAGTATAGAAATTAAAGTAGATGTCAATATGCAGACTGATCAGTGGATTCTCAACCACTAATTCAGTAGTGAAGGTCACATTTTACATTCACGTTTGCTGTGCTACGCTATGGAAGTCAACTGCAATTAATTTTGAAGTTATGACTTACTGTAGGTATTCTATGTTTAATTCTATATTATAGCATAGTGCTTGCACTGGTTCTACCTAATTCCAATTGAGCCATCATAGTATGTAACATGACGAGTGTAGTTTCATTTTAGCTTCAGAATTTCTGTCGAGTTTAACTGCAAGTTCCTTTTGTTAAATTTTCTGCGATGCGATAATCATTTGGAAATAATCCAAACAAACCCTACTTCCTTTGACTTTCACCAAGCTAAGATGTTTACTGAAACTTGAGTATTTTGACTTTGTTTGTCTACATTGTCATCAAGTATTTTTGACTTGCTGACTTATTAATTACATGTAATTCAAAGAAGCCAATTTTTCATTAACAATTTAAGAAACTGGATGAAGCATTTAGTTCAACCATCGCTTAACCCTTTGAGTCCCAATTATGCATATATGCGTAATTAATGGTCATGCTCTTTGTACCACTTTTGACATCATCAATTTAAATGTCATTAGCTATTCTTGATAAGCAGATAGTAGTACTAGGCTAGGCTAAGTCCAAATCTTGGCTTATGTGCATGCCCAGAATTGAAATGTTGCTCAATTTTGTACCTACTCCTTGAAAAATCTCTCCTTTTAGTAAGGAGCTAAAAAACCTGACTAAATGGTCAAAAACAGTATTTTTTGGCGAAAGTTTGGTATTCAAAGGGTTAACTGATTGTGGCGTGTTTTTAACCAGTCAACTGGATCCTCTGTTTTCCTTTACTGTGCATTGTGAGAACTTTGTAGTCAGTCGCAAATAAAACATGTTTTGCAGTTATGAAAGAATTGGTTCATGCTTTTAGCTGTGCGTATATCATGTTATGGATGCACTTGGGAAGTTTGCAGAGCACTCAAGGAGTTAAAGGTGCTCTCAGCTGCGCCCCAAGCAACTCTTACATTTCTTTGGTGCTCTCCATGACTTGATATATGCACGCTAACCACGAACAAATTCTTTACTTGTATTAATTATTTGCAATTAAATAATTAATTATTTTGAGTACTATTACCAATTAATTATTAATAGTCAATACACATAAAGAGCTAGTAGCTAGAAGTCTACTGGCATTTAGATAGACTTGCCACAAGCAACCTTATTAGTTAATTTCGGAGGGCTTTTGCATCTAAGATGACTGGTTTTTTTTTTAAATAAAGTTCACAATAATCAACATTACGATATGATACAATACAATACATTACTTACAGTACTGCTCACTTACTTACTTAAGACATCTAAGATGACTTTGGTGACATGTTTTCAGGGCATTGTTTTAGAGTTAGATTAATATATCTGTTTGACCATAGTCAACATATCACCTTGGAATCTTTTGAACTGGATAGCAATCTATTAGGAATCACTTCCATGAGAAAGTGCATGGCATTGGAGAAATTGAAAATTTATGAAAATTTATGAGATAAATTTATGAGATAAATTTATGAGATAAATGCAGTTAATTGGTGGTTTAAAATCCATGGCATGTACTTTTGGGTAGGAAATGTGTTAGTTTTGTAGAGTCTTTGCATCAAATGTGACAAAGGGGAGCATGTTTTCGGGGTTGTTTATAGAGTTAAATATATATTAGCTGTGTGACTATGTTCACCATAACCTTGGAACTGGATAGCACTTCCAGGGGAAAGTCCATATTGTAAAAATCGAGAATCTGTTTTTTAGATTAGCATTTTTAAGGATTTTAAGGATTTAAGAAAAAAAAAAAGTATGCCCAAGCTGAAAGAGATTGAAATTCTCCTTAGCTTAGTGAAATCTTGACATACATTTTTTCTCATGTTGGCTATGAGAATTTGGCAGTACGTCAAAACAACAACTCCTTTAAAAGTTGATGAACATCTTTCTTCTCATCACCTTTTTGCTCGGCAGTATATTGATATTGTAAAGAGAAGTTAGATTTTGATCACTCTTGGGATTGAAGGGTTAAATGATAAATTATTTTCTCAGCATGACTAAAACTACAAAATGAGATATTAGTGAATCCCATGTGGAATAAATGGTGGTAATTTTTCCACTTTAAAAACCCAAAGTGTGAGGGGCTGGACCCTCCTTGATTAGCACCTTGTAGAGAACCCCCCCCCCTCCCCCAGGCTCAGGAATTTGGCCTAATCCAAAAGAGGGTTCCAAGACAACAAAATAGGGGCCGAGTACTTCTTAGCACTGCCACAGGATTCCAGTGGATGAAAATTGACATTTTTGTCCGAGATTCAAGAAGAGAAAAGCCTTGAGTTTTTCGCTCAAAAAAATTATGCCCTCGTGGTCCATTGACCTTCCCCCTGGGACCCTGTGATCTAGAATATCTTTGTCTTTCTTTCCCCTTTTTTGCTTTTCTTTACTAAATCCTTTTCCCTTCGTTTTTATTCTTATTTTTTTTATTTTTTCCATCAATTTTAGAAGAAGTTGAAATAATTTTTAGTAGTTATATATGTGAAAGCGCCTGAAAACTTTTACAAATTGCACTTCACGGGAACTAAGATAAGGGGTGAAGTTTTAGATCACAAAGGCCTATCCCAACGAAAAATTCTGTTAAACAAAAAGGTCAGTTGAAAATTTTGAAACTTGACTTGAGATGCACTTTGCTGGTGAACGGGGTTTGCAAAATAATTTTTTTTCTTGAAAGGAGTCGATTAAACGGGAAGACAGGGAAAACTTAACTATGTACTAACACAAGTTATGTGAAACATTTGTCGAGTTTATTATCCCTTTAATTGTTTCTGAGAAACAGTAAAATACAGTTTAACTTGCAACTGGCAACTCCGGCCAAAAGCTTTTAAGAAGCTTTCAGTCATAAAGTCCAAACTTAGCACTTTGTTCTTCTCAGGTTGCCATGAAGACTATTAAAGGACCCTAGTCAGCCTCCGCCATTTTTGATGTCATCGATATTATTGATATTCTGCACAGTGAAGCGTATCTTATTGCTTTGCTGGAAGTTGTGTTCCTGAAAGTATGTTTAATTATGTTTAGTACTTACACAGTGATTTCCTTCGTTTCGATATGCTCCCAATAAAATATAATAGCCAAACTCTCGCATGCAAACAAAACTAAAGGTGTGGCTGACTAGGACCCTTTAAGCAACTATCAGCCCCTGATACGAGCGTATCATGCTAAGCTTGAACTTTATGACTGAAACCTTTTCTTTTTCAAAAGCTTCCAGACATGAAGTTCAAACTTCACAGCTTTTTGAAGATCCTGAAGCCAGTGGTGGTGTTTTCAGCGGCACACGACGATTTGCTGTTAGTGCTGCAACTTCGGGGATAAAAACGGCTACTGTAATAGTACAACCAGGCGCTGTTGAATGCGTACGGGTATTTGAACGCCACTATGTCACCATATTGGATAGGGGTACCATCAACAGCGTTCCTGGAGAAGATCTGGAAAGTGACGTAGTTGTAACTGAACCAGGTGTTCCCTGACAGGCTGCTGGTAGTCCTGAAGAAACACAGATTTTCTCTGGTTCATGACTTGGCATAGAATATTAATAATTATAAATTGCCCAGCAGCTATACTGAGATTTTCCTTAGTCTTTTGATTGGGACCTTACCCAACGGGACAGAGATTTCCCTTCTCTTGTCTTGCAGGGTATTGGGATCTTGAAAGTGCTAAGCGACTAGAAGCATGTTCTTTCTTTATTATTTTTATGTAATTGCACATTTCTGGTGCAATGGTTTTACTGGGACCCTGGCTGGGGTCACAGCATTTTCTTGGACAAGACACTTCGCCGACAGTGACTCTACCCACAAAGGTTTATAAAGAGGTACCAGCGAATTTGAAACCGAGATAAGTTCCAGCAATGCGGGCCATTTTGCCCTACGCAACCTATGCCTTTTTTTATGTGATCCCCTTTTTTGTTAATGGATTTAATGGTAGTAGATTGTTCAGCACTTACGAATACATGCGACATTGGTAACTGGTAGATGTGCTACAATAGAGCCGGTAGCTGGTTCCATGGGCCTTGGAGCTTATCGATACAGTATCGCCACTGTTAATGGGCTGTCCGTCCAACTTTCCCATGGCATGGATGTAAAAATACATGTAGCTTGAACAGCCAGACCACGCCGCTGAAGTCATAACAGTACCCTTGCAGGTACCATACCAGCAGTAAGATGAACTACAATGCATCCAATACTTCGAGTAGCTGCCTGAAGGATAGGACGAGCGCAAGGCAATCATGTCACCACTATTGAGGATGGGGTATCGGTTGCCTTAAGGAGTAAACATAGAACAGATCACAATTATTTTTTTTTCTGGATGTAGCTCTTAAAATATACGCGACTGCGTAGTTTTCTTTCTAGAAAATGTCAGTTAATGAAGCAAAAAAACAGTATACAGACTATTGCCGTAAAAAGTATAATTGTGTCAAATGAAACTGGGTCTTTCAATATTCCTGTAATATTGTATGAGATTTCATGTTAATTTAATCGACATACTTTAAACATCCCAAGCCCAGCCGTAGACACTGCAGATGACAAGCGTGTTACTCGTGCTTCGCGTATTACGTTTTGTTCTTCGATTCAAAGAGCCTCCGTACCGAGCTAAAATTCGAAATTTATTTACCACGCTAGAATGGATTTTGAATACAAGAAACTGAATCATAAATTTTTACCGTTGGACAAACCAGCCCAAATCTCTTCTTTAGGACCGTAAAACTGAATTTGAGCGTTACCATTGAGCGTCAATTGGCTGCTGGAAAGGCTGACGGACGCTGAATCCACGCCAATCGCCAAGGCGAACGCCAAGAAAACGGCTACAGCAACAAACTTCATGTTCTGAATCTCGAGAAGGAGGTTTACGTTCTACTCAGTGGAACTCTGTTCGCTTTGAGGGTTGAATACCAACTGATCACAATTCTCTCAACGCGGTGAATTGTTTGGTTGATACGTTTGAGGTGAAACAAGTTACATGAACATGTTTCGGGCTTTTCAAAAATGTAAACTGAACTTATATTCAGCTGTCAGGGGAATGAAATGTTTAACAGACTGACTAAAGGTGAAAATATATATATATATATTGTGTGTATGTGTGTGTAGTGACGGCCACACGTTTTTTCACATAGATAGATTGCCTACTCGCCGATTTTACAAACAAGAAACGAAGGGAAAGTAATGAAAGTTGCCGTAATGGCAATGAACTTAACCACCCTGATTCGTGAATTTCAATATTTAAATCTAGCTGAAGAAAAAATACCATTGAAATTAAAAAGGGACGGCAAAGATCTTTCTTATTTATATGATATATATATATACATTCTTGGCGGCCGATGTCAGTGCTGACAGCAAGACAATCAATTTGCGCACGAATAGTCAGTAATCGATATTTGACAAGCAAACCAACAAACCTGAAGACATTTTTCATGTTTGGAACATTCTCAGAACGATTAAGGAAATATATCTTCGCAACTTTAAAACTTCAGTCTCAGTCTGTCGTGCACTTGAAAGAGAAAAAAAACCGTTCCAAAGAAGAGTTTTGAAAAAATGAAAAACGCTCATTTTACGAAAAAAAAAATTAAAAAAGCGTGTTGTGAACCATGTTAATATGTAACGCTGACACGCGTAATAACGCCCGCATCTTTTTAGTTCCTGAGAGGCGAGAAACCTGTACAGTTAGAAACCTTTAACGCTGATTAGCAGCATTCTCTTTAGAGCCACTCAGTTCATAAAAGTGCAACTGGCAATTCGAAACAATCGAGATCTGAATGAAAACCTTTTCGAAAAGGGGGGTTCAATATGACCTCAGTAAATTATCAGATTTCTGTTCGACAGTGTCCAAAGAAGAAATTGGCAGTTAATTTGTTTGTTTTGTATAGTTTTTTTTTTTCTTCTTCTTAGTCAGTTTTTCGCCCGGCTTTTGGCAGAGTAGTAGGAATGTTGTTTCATCAAATTAAAGTACTCCTTAGTGGCAAACCTGAAAATTCGCTTTTTGAAGAAAGTAAAATCCAGACTTTCCACTTAGATTCCAGACTCACGGACGAAAATTTAACTCAAAAAATGACGGCATGATATAGCTTAACGAAATGTTGACTGTATTACAGAAGGGAAAGTGGCATAAGCCTGATTGAATAATTACGAGGCTGATGACTTTTCGTGTCTGAGGAAATATTTGTTTTAGAGCAGACCAAAAACAATCAATTCATTGTGGTAACCGACAGTTTTATGCGGTGCCATAAATTATTAGACTGAATCAGGTGAATTTAACAAACAAACTACTGAACTGTTTTTGTTCTTCTTCTTCACAATTAATGCAGCATAGGTCAACATAGATGTTACGCAAAGCTACACAAACTTAAAATCGAAGGTGACGAATCTGTTGGTTTGTTAGTGATCTGTGAGACTGACTAAAAGATTTATTTAATCTCAGAATATTTATAGGGAAAGTGGAGGCTGTAAGGGGTGACTTTCGTGAAGAATAAACAAAACATTTCTTAAATCGACATTTTGGCTAATATTATGTAGCGCTATTGTTGTTGGTAATCTCACAAAGTTTCGGTAGTATTTTCTCTGTCGGTTTTACAACCGATCTCGGAAGGTGATAATTCGCCCCGGGGCTATTTGACAAAAAAAGTGCACTATTCCACTACACGAGTCTAGCCGATATAGTTTGCTTTGAACAGTTGTATAACAAAAAAGGTGCGCGGGCGAATCATGATGAAAATATCATTTACTAATTATCACACTCGCTATCGTGTTTTCTTACCTATTTATTTTTTTTCGCGCCCGCTTTTTACTTAAAGACTTTCAGAGATCATGCAACAGGCGAGAGGGAAGCTCAGACTTAATATCAGTTCAGTGGATCGCGAGCTCTCAACGCGCTCTGATCCCGCGTGCTCTCATCACTAGAATTAAACCTGCTCAAACTTTGGTGTCGGAATCGGCGACCGGGCGATCAACAATGAGAAGAAAATCCCTCTCCTGCTCATATATAGTCCTTTCTGTTCATTTCATCCGGTCTTAAAATACATCTTAGTTTTCAGACTAAGTGATAATTTTTTTTCATATTCCTTACTAGCTCATTTGGTTATGGTCTATCTTTTACATATAGTATCTTTTTTTCTCTTCAGCCCATTTCTTCTGTTTTCAAAGTGATCTCTTTGTCTGGGTCTTCTAGAGATGTGAAGCTCTTTTTTTCTTCAATGCAAGATTCTCGACTGTTAATGTATAGAAAGTTGCTCCTTGTAAGTAGCGATTTAGTATTGGCTTTGAGATTTTCTTCTCCTCGGTCCAGTCATGTTTACTTCTAGAGTTTTCCTCTCCTTTGCCAGTATGTCTTGTTTTAGTAATTGGTAACGTAGTCTCAACCATAACATACAATGAAGATTTTTGTAAGTTAAGCTCAGGTTCCTAGACTTTTAACCGACAGCTCAGCCTGTACATGTGCTTTCAAAGAACGAGGCACGCAATTTTTCTTGAACTTCTTTGGTTAAGTCGCTGATCTGAAAAAAGAAAAGCAACCGTATTTTTCGTTACGTAATTGTCTTCCGTCTCGCTACTTCCAATACTTGTTTCGTGCTTCAATCTCGATCCCGGTTTCTGTAAAGTTCTCATAAGGAGTTGAAACGTGTGATTGCTCAGTCGCTATTCCTTTGGTCAGTCCACTTTAGGGGCCACATTTCTCTGTGTTTTCTTGATGTTCTCGTTCGGCGTTTTCGACGGTCTCGCCCTCTCTCGGTCCTCTCTCTCCGGCTCTCTTCAGCGACTCTCGCCCAGCATAATTTGCCTCCGTCGCATTTTCACTTTGAAATCACCTTCACTTTCTTCAAGCTGTCCTAATTCATCTCACAGTGCATCTTTATTTATTTTTTTACTCATCGAGAAATACCTGTGTCTCCAAGTCAACAATAGTTAACATGTCGGCAGGCATCAATCTACTCTTCCCACCCCTATTTGTAATATAATGGCTTTTGAATATCGGTTTGGTAGAAGATCTTAGAAGAAGATTCATAGACTACGTGCAATAGTTCTTTTCGTTACTTATTTTACCTGTTACAATTTAATGAAAGTTGTTGCATTTTAATTTTGTACTTGTCTATTGTATGCTGCATTTTTTCAGTGACTAAATAAAAGTTTACATTATTATAAAAGATAAAAAATATCTTCTCGACTTTTCGCCACTCGCTGTTATGAAAAGCCACCAAGACCACCAAGGGTCTTCGTACCATGCCACAAAATATTAACTCCTTAAACATTTGTTATATCCTGGTACTGTCGGGAAATATATTTATTCCTGCCCGTCTCGTGTCCTACAAATAAAACTGTAAGGGGATGTCGCGTTTCTTTAAACCCAGCGTGTTATGGTAGAATACTTTGTGTTTAACTTCGTTTTCGATTTTTTTGAACCAGAATCCAGTTGAAAGGGTAATTAAAGTATATTTGTAAAAGAAGTTCCTTTTCAGAAATGATTTAGTTGAGAACTTCCAATTTCACTGGCATTATTCACAAAGAGTTAAATGTTGCTCTCCAGTAGGCTCTACCACTATTCAATGTTCATCTGAAGAACCCGGACTGAAAATGAAATCCTTGTAAACTATAGCTTGAAATTCTCAGTTTCTCCATGATGTCAGACATAATCGCTGATTGATAAACAGTCGCTCCCTCGTACCTTCTTCTCGTTTTCCGATATATTTGCGAATTATTTTCTGTTCGGATGGTTTTACTTTTTAAACCGAAGCAATACCAAATGGGAACGGTAAATTAAAATTTCTGGGTGAAAAATTGTTTTCACTCGCCGCTCTTTGGCCTCCTTATGGCTTCGTGGCAACAGTGAAAGCTCTCTGAAAACAAGGCCTATTTTAGCGAAAATGCTCTTATGACTTGACACAAAACTTAGGCGAGATTTCACTGTAACGTACTAAGTTAAAATAGGTTCCCGAAACAGTAGATTTAGCTAATGCTAACTGCTAATGCAATACGTTTATTTCTCGGCATGATTTTGCTCGGTTTACTAAATTTCTCGCGATCCCAGCTGTGACGACTCCCTCAATATTGGAGAAAATAAATATTTCGCTATTTTCAAATTACCGACCCAACCTCTGACAGTGATATAGCTCAGTGACCCGCCGTTCATTGCCGCTTTGTCCTGAAGAACGCAGGAAAAAAGCGTCGATTTGTTTCGCCCAAACATTTTGTAGGAAGAAGCGCAAGAAGCGAGCGTGGAACGTGGAACGTGAGGCGCAGGTATTCACGAGTGACTTACGCGCGTGTGGAAATTACAGTGATGACGTGTACTTTCGCATAACTCGCGCGAAAGGAAAAATAGACACAACAAGCGAAAATTTTGGCGTCCAGACTTGGAGTACCACTGCCATAGTAATGTAACTAACTCCTAGACTTACTTCATCAAGATATCCATTCTTGTTTCCACAACTGTAGTAGATTTCCGTAGGAATGAATGCTGACTGATGGAGAGTCCTCCAGATATTACGAATAAAAGATCTCGTGTCTAATTACACCGTCCTCTTTTGGTTGTAAATTCTTTCGTGCCAAATCGTATCGAATTAAGGCTTAAAATACAGACATTTTTTGCGAGAGATCCCTAAATTCTCTCAGTTAAACTTAAAGTGGCGAGAGAACATAGGGCGAGGCAAAAAGTAGATCCAGGGTGTAGGGGGGGGGGAGTCAAAAAGCCGAGAAGCAGGGAGGGGTAAGGGGTATTTTCGTCCCCAGGGCCATTCGTGTCTTTTTGGCCCGTGGAGGTCTTAGCTGTTACCAGTCCTCTAGGGCTAATAGACCCGAATGACTCTGGGGACGAGAATGGAAAAAGGCGCGAAAAGAATTCCCTTTGCACCAGTTCTCCTCATCCTCCTTTGGCATCGAAGCACATGGGACAATTCAGTGATTGCCTATGGGTCCATGTTGTCCTTATTTTTTGAAGTAAATGCTACAATTTTTGTGTGAAATGGTCAGGCAAGGAGGTTATGTAAAATTATATTAACGTTAAAAGATAAATATGGAATCGAATATAAACCAATGACACAGGCATCATACTGAAATCCAAACATTACGATTGGGAGTGTCTGATCACAAGAAAAACAACAATGGTAAGTAGAAAAAATAGCACGGACAACAACAAGAAGAATTCGGCAAAAAGAACAAGAAGAAACAAAAGAACAAGAACATTTGCAAGAACAAGTACAAACAGGAGCAAGTACACTGCAAGTAGAAAACGATTAAGACCATAAAGAGGGCCAAAACAAGAAAAAAAAAACGATAAAAAATAAAGTAACATCAAGAAAAAGTACAAAATCAAGAAAATGAACAACAACATCAAGAGTAACAAGAACAACTTGAAGAAAAAAAACACTGAGTAAAGGAACAAGAACAATGGGCATGCTCAGGTATACAAAAGGGTAGGGATTTCACAAGTTTGGGTATGTGAAAGAGTAGGGAAATCTGCCATTTAGTTCTTTTAAAGAGCCTTTAATTGAAATATTTCGAACGGACGCACCTTGTGGCTGTATCATTTCATTTATTAGGCGCTAAACGAAAATGGCAAGAACATTTCATTTCTTAGCGGTTTATTCATAATGCGGGCTGGTTATGAAAGCATGTTAAAGGAAAGTCTTTTCTCTATTAGAAGTATACAAAAGAGGTACTCTTTCTGTCAAAATGGTATAGGAAAGGGTTGGACCTGGGTGCGGATCCTCCCCTTTTAAAACTTTGTAGAGTACCACCCCCCTTCCCCCGTGGCGTTTCTCTCTAGACTGTCTGATATCAAACGAATGAAAAGGGGTTTGCAAAATTCTTTTTTCCATCTTTGTTTATAGGACATTTTACCTGCGAAACTTAACTAAATTTTAAAAACTGTTCGTTCATTAAAACGTAAAAAGATAATACCTATGAGCTTCTAAGCATCATAACAAACTTGACAACAACAGCAACAACCTCCTTCAGTTACATCTAAAAGTTACCGGGGGTTAAATGAGTAGAACAATTTGACTATACTTCTTACAGAACTGTTTTGAAATGACTGTCATAACAAGTTTATGCGGCAGTCTAAGTGCATGCCTGTTTATTAGCTAGGTGTAGCTAAGCGCTTTGATCACAACAACATATGAACATGTTTTTGAATGATGTTGTATTTCCACTAGCCAGTCACAATACAGAAAGAGTGTAATTTATTAATCAGAACTGAAGAGGCAAAAAAGGTTCAACCAGCTAAGTCAAGCCGCAATTGTTTTATTTTGCTCCTGTTTGGTTGAGAAAAGCCTAGTGTTTAATGGTGATTAATTAGAACAATTTACATGACGTCCTTTCAACCAATCACAGATCTCGGCAAACAAAAAACCAAAGGAAACACAGAGTTATGCTCGACAGTCAGTTAAGAACTGTTCAAATGGACGTTTTTGTTATGTTAACTCCCGTTCACTGCGAGTCATTGCTGTGCTGTAACCACGTTGATTAATTTTGTTTGCTGTTGATTATTTCTCCTCTCTTCTTCCTCTTTCTCTCTGTTGCTTCTTTGACATCTTCCACTTTGAATCCCAATCTGTTATCCTGCGAATTCAACTTCGTGTTTTTGGACAAGACGTGCCTGGGTTCGAGTTTCTGCATCTCTCTGTTCGCCATGGTCCTTTCCCTCTCGTTCGCCACGAACAAATCAAACTCTAGGTTGCTCAGCCGAGTGAACGATCGTCTGGGAATGGCATCAATCTCTGCTATGCTCAGACTAGCCAGCTGGTCATGACACAGTTTGTAGCTCTCATGAGTAGGGTCGTCGTACAACACGCAAACCCCTCCGGGCTGCTTGAACTGATCCAACAAGTTCTGAGGCCTGAGCCGGGGGGATATTCCATACAGTTTGATGGTGCCTTGAGTGTAAGCGTTCTTGTAGCGGCTACCCTTCTTCTGCCAGTCGGTCCAGATTTTGTCGGTGAAGGCGTGGTGCAGAAGGAACTCTGGGGCATTGGCTGAATAAATGCCGCACATGGTTCCAGTATTCCCGCCAATTCTGCAGTGCATGTCGTTGTGTAAGTTGACGCGGAGTGTCCTCTCAAATTCGGGGAAGTTGTTGTAAGAGGTGCGAAGGCATTTGTGAACTGCTATGCAATCTGGTGGTTTTCCTTTTGAATAAAAAGAGTTCATATCAAAGAGAGAATGTGCCTATCGTGTGAGTTATCCTCAGAGCGAAGTGTCCCATACCACGGGAGCTTATCTTGGTTTCTGCATTTATTGCAAGGTAACGCCCAGCACCCATTTACAGACCTCGATGGATATAGAGGGGCCTAACAGGGAAAGTTAAGATGTCTTGCCCTGGGAAATAACGCAGTGATCCCCACCAGGGCTCGTACCCGGAGGTAAGGTAACTAACTTTATTTTATCAGGGTAGTGCATTCAGCAATGAAGCTATGAAATAAAGATACAGTGTAATCCCGATTTCTCGAATCCTCATTTTTTCGAACCTCGCGATAACTTGAACCAAAAGTCGTCTCCCTCTCCACAGTCGAACACTGTAATTTTACCGTCGATTTCTTGAACTATCCGAGTTTTTGAACCAATAATTTACGTTTCCCTTGGAGGTTCGAAAAATCGGTATTCCAATGTATGTAGTCTATGTAGAAGTTATAAAATTTAAAAATTAAGTACAATTTAAAAATTTAAAATTAGCGAAAAAATTATTAAAACCCTAAAGAACATTTAAAAGGCTAAAATACGATAAAAGATTTTTATAAACTTCCAAGGAATAAGAAAATACAAGTAAGCATGCTTAATTATCAGACTTTTAAAATTGCTCAAGGACGGAGCACTTTTAATTCAAGCGGGTAAATAAGTTGAAGCAGATTGTTGCTGCGTGCTGAACTACGGAACGTACAATTTGCAGTTCAGTACGCTAACCATTACGTCACCGCGCCTCCTACTACATCGTGAAAATATGTTTCTAGCCACACAAACGCGTTTTTTCTCTCAATATCTAACCACTTTTTCTCGCTATAACTTATAAAAGACTACACTGTGTAGATTGCGTTTAAATCAGTGCAGTCTATTCAAACCTAATAAAATTTGTATTTTTGTATATCTTATTCAGTTCACACAACTATTACTTCTTAAAATTATCAAAAGCGCGACCAAAACAAGATCAGCTAGGCGTGGTCCTTGCGTCGGCGTTTTCGCGCCGTCCTTCGAGCTCATTAATGAAAGAAACATATAAGACGGCTGTGAAGAGAGTAACATCTTTCAGTTCAAGAGGTTCCCATGCAGATTGAAAGTTTGATCTCCAACCAATCAAGACGCTTAAATTTTTCTAGCAGTTCTTTAGAAATTTGTCTTCGCCCAGTCAATCATTGTTTGCATTGTCACGCGTGGTCACGCAACGATTTTCCGTAACGTTCCACGTGACAATATAAACCAAATAGCGGCTGCGAAAGTTCTGGGATATAGTTTTAATCGTTATTTTTACCGTTAAACTTTCTTTTAAGGCATCCACCGTCAGGTAACCACCACTGGTCTTTCCTAAAAGGTCCGCTGTACACACAATTGTCTCTTCCACCACCGTTACCGCCAAAACCCCATGGTGCATCGCTCCACACGCTCATAATCTGAAAAAAAGCCAATGACGTCGTCAGAGAGGTTTAAGAATGTCAAAAATAGCCTCGGAAAGTTGAGACGTGGGAAGAAGCATACAAAGAAAACGGGAAAATAGCTCGTGGGATTACGCTTGAGAGTACTTCACTTTCGGCCGCGGAGCCGCGAACTGAGATCAGCGGCAAAGATGCGAGAAAATTTATGGGAGCAGCCAGGCCCTATTAAATTCTTCTCGCAGCTTCGTTCAGCACCTATTGGGAAACCCATCCACCGAAATGCCACCTGTTACGGTACTGAAATCCCGCCAGGGTCACAGAAGTGAACCGAAGTGAAATACCTCATTCAGCCAGGGTTCACCGGACCACAAACTCCAGTCCCAATAGGGCACCGTGACAATTGGGTCCACTTCGCGCAGAATGTTTTCCATCTTCAGGAGGTACCAGCGGTGCCACGCTAGGAACTGCTTTTTGTTATGAATGCTTCGGAACTGCTTGGTGTGTGTTTTAACAAGGTTTTGGTAATCTTGTCGCTCAGATGCCATCTTCAGGGTGTGAATAAAACGGTACCTGGTGAAAAGGAGAAATAGGGATTGTGGAAAATGAATCTGCGCTCTTATCCGTAAGTGACAAGGGGAAGGGAAGTCACGCGAAAAATCGCCATGTTTGGGTCAGAAGCTGGATGGGAAAAACTTAAAAGATAGGGGCATTTTGGGAAATATATATGAAAAGATGCCATCTGGTACAGAGAATCTGATGGTCAGTCTGTCGCAAATTATTCTGCAATTTAACAGGAAGTGCGTTTTATTTTATTGTTGGGCAAGTCAAAGCCGTGAGATGGAGAAGGGAAGAAGGCCGCAACCTCGTTTCCAGGGATTTCCCAATCTATAAGGAAAAGCCCTAGTAACGAGGTTGACAGGGGCGCTCACGCTGACACTGGACTACAGACTATACTCACCTCTCTCCGGGATGCATCCCGATCCATTCCCGCCTCACGCGACAAGCGATCAGTTTCCCGCCACGACACACATGCCGCTGGCCAAGTTGATCATCTATCACTGAGCCTTCCTTGCAAGCTTGCGATAGCGTTTCTGTGGGCAAGGGGTTAAAACAAATTTAGAGGTGAAGATGGGAAGATGTGAAAATTTTGGACATTGAGCTTGCTAAGAAGCAGTTCCGGAGTGCTCAGTCGCGCTAATTTTGAGTGGTAATGTCTGGATCCTCCTCGAGGTATGCGACGATTGTATGTAAACTGCACTATACGAGTCCCGGCCACTCGGTTTATTATAGGAGACATAATTTTCTCGAAAGTATTAGTCATGATCAGGAGGAAAAATAAAGTTTATGCAGCCGAATATATACGCCATGCACTTCGCTGTAGTGCGAGTGTTTGGCAGTGCGCAAACCTTGCATATACGTTCCCAACAGCTATAAATAAAAATCACTGATGAAGAACTGACATACCCCTTCCTTACAAGCTTGTAAGGAGGGGGTATGCGAGTTTGTGTATGTGAGTTTGTGAGTTTATGGAGCGAACAGAAGGCGTGAGTGAACCTAAAATACGCAATTCTTCAGCTTTTTTTCCGTCTTCAAGTTTGTTGACTTGTCACAGTCTAAGAAAGTGGGTTATCATAACTATTTTACTTGCCTGTTATAGTTATTGCCAAAAGTAAAATTAAACTGGTCTTCATCTTTTTCCTACAAACTTACAGAAAAAAAAAAACATCGTTAGCAGATGAACAAGTTCAGAGGGGAAAAGCACGAAAAAAAACATCTTTTTATTTTGGTGATGAATCTCCAACTTCTCAGAACTTACGTAAAAAGAAATTTTTAACAGCGCTAGCCAGTAAGGAGAATTGACCTCTCGAATATTTATCATGTTAATTTATTTGAATGTTTTTCGCGCATTGGTTTAAGCTACGAATTAAGCGAAAGACGTGTATGCCTGGACCTCTCTTTGAGTCTCGTAGGAAGTGGAGGCTGCTAATGTACAGAGCTAATTTGCAGTAGCTTGTCAACTCTGAAACCAGTTCTCGACTGCAACGAGTTTTGCCTCTTATCAGATTATCAAGCTCTTAGCGAAGGACTGTTCTAAGCATTTCTCAGTAGTGCAAATTGGATAACTGTAAGAATCCTGTGAATGATGTTAAATGAACCTAAGGTATGTTTGGATCGACAGTTTCGAGTATTTACTCTGGGCCGTACACTCGTGAACACTGAGAAATGTTCTTTGTATAATGAACAGAAAGAAACGTCGCCCACAGAAAAGTCTATTTTTGTAAGTCTTGAAATCTTTCCTCATGGACTCTTTAAAGAGAATTAAATTTCCATGCATACTGAAGTTGCTGTTTGCTTCCATTGTGGACATGATTACAGTAACTAAGAAATTGCTCCTATCGTGAGCTCACAGAACGTTTAAGGCCATTTTCTCTACAGAAATTCAAAATACGAAGATATACTTACGCTGGAAGTTTCGCCCGGCGTTGCCTTACACTGAACGGACGTCGATCTAGTCGCATTCAACTACCTACCAAGGAATTTATAAATACTTTTTCTCGTTCTTAATCAGTTAAGTTATTTAAATTCTCTGGCGCTATTTGCAGAAGCAGCAATAAGCTTTAACCCTGTGCATTATAAGTTGGATGACTGTGTCAACACTTTTTGCGGCGAATTAAAATCTCGGTGTCTTACGAAAATACAATCTGTCAATCATGTGGGTGGTCAAATTATGCGTATCTTTTTTTTTATTTATTAGCCCCGCGGATAGTTTCAGTCCTTTGACTTTTCAACTGCAATTCCAGTATGGCAGTGGAAAATGTGCTAATAGATGTGTTTCCCTTGGTACCACAAATAGATGCTCGCGCAGGGTTGTTTCACTGCAACTGCACTGCAACCTATTGCGGGAGTTATTAGGTCATCCTTACCTTAACATGCAAGTGGGATTAAAAGAAGAGACAGATAAATAAAAGAAACGATTTGAATAGTACGTTTCCCACTCACGCTAACTGGAAGGGAGTAACTCAAAAAATTAACTTCGGCAATTTCGCCCCTGAAACCCGTATCACGCCAATCAGTTTTCGAGTGAGGAACCGTGAGTCGAGAGCAAGTCTCTTTATCCGATCCCGTGCTATTGCTTAGTTCCAGTTGATATTTCCGTCATTTTTCTGTTTTGTTTTTTGTTATTATTTTCTGATAACATTTTCTCATTGTTGGTTAGTATGGTGCACGCTTGCATCAAATTGCGTGAAACGAACGACGTTGGAGTCGAAATTGTCCCATCTTGACCTCAGGGCCTTTCGGGCTTTTAAACTGTGTAAATTTTGTTCTTTTCAATCAATCTTTTATCCTCTCAACACTTGTTGTTCACACAAGCGCGCTTTTTCCGCCACTAACCGAACTCTGGTAGGGCATCCTTGGGCAGTTTAGAGGACGTAGCATGTTCGAGCAGGGGAGGCTCTCGTCGGTAGTTTGGGAACGGTAAAAAACAGGTCAAGTCTGTATGTGCACGAAGTGACCCATCAGGCCCGGCCGGTGCTTATCCCGGTTTCTGTAGCATGAAGCAACTAGGGAGTATTTCTACTCCTCCCTGGATGGGATGCTAGTCCATCGCAGGGTTACCACCAGCATTAAATTCGCCGTCACCCATTTATACCCCTGGGAGGCGGTGGAGAGAGGCCGGCACGGCGAGAGTAAAGTGTCTTGCCCAAGAACACAACACAATGTCCCAGGCCAGCGGCCCGTTTTTCGAAGGTCCCGAAAAGTTTTCGCACCCGGAGAGCCGTAGCGAAATCTCAAACCTTCTGATTAGAGAACTGTTTTATTTACGTATTCTTAATAAGAAGAGAGGTTCTCTTCATACAGAACGTTTCAGGTGTAATATACATCCTCTGTTTTAGATACAGATTAATTTAAAATTGCTTTGCGGACCCGAAAAGTTTCCGGGGCTTTCTAGAAACGCCCCTAGGGCTCTAACCCAGACCACTCGATCCGGAGGGGAGCTCACTAACCATGAGGCCACCGCGCCTCCACAGGTTGGGGACGAACGAAGGAAAAAAACCGTGGGGAACCCTCTTTCTACGGTTTATGTCCTGTCCTGCACAGGGGCTCTGCACTGGCTGCACACTCCTGCTGAATTGTACAAATGACACCTGTGATATTGTCAAAATCTCCTGTCCTCTGAAAGGATAACACTTTAGAATGGCGTCCCTCGTTTTCCGTTGTTTATTTTCCAACTGACTGAATATTTGTTTTTCGCTCCCATGCAGAACAACTAACAGACTTTTAAAAGCCAGCAGCCAGCGGCATGCCAAAAATAACAAACGCATGCGCATTGACAAGCGTCGTTCACGCGCGCAACTTTTGTCTTCAGCGTCTGTAGTAACGAAATTCGGTTAACATTTATTTTGAGCTACTTTCCTCGAGGATAAGTTTCGGACTCAAAGATCATCAGGGAAAAATCTTTTATCTGGAGAAGAGTGAGAAGTGGTTTGGGGCGCGTAGTCAACACCAAGGCGAGGGTTTGTTGTCATTTGTGCGATCACGACGTCTGCGTTCGATCAGTGATTCGATCGAACCGAATTTTGATTGAAATCGAACGTTTTTCGTTGATCAATGGATCGATTTGGTGGATCACTTCCCGTGAAAGGATACAGTGGCGAAATGGCTGGAAAAAAGCGAGTTCAACTCCCAGTAGACCTTGGAAAAGGTAGGTAGACGTCTTGTGTTTATGTTTAGCTTATAATTATAGAACTCCAGGTGTCCATGTTGAACTCTACTCAAGCGTCAAATTCAACTTTCTTTTAATTTTCAATCGTGAAAAATTACATTTCAATTAAACTTAAATACCTTTCTCTCCTCAACAAAAGGTGCATTAATAATTTGTACATAAATACGTTCTCTGTGAATTAACCTGTTTGCCAAACAGGACACTGGATATAAAATAATCAAGAACTAAAGTAAGCTTATTCTATTGAGGTCGAAAACAGTTTGTTTCATCAATTCCAGAGTGCGAACACTGAATGAACTTGTCACTTCAAATTTCAATAGCAGTTTTGAAGGATTTTTAGGTTTAAGTTTGATTTTAAGTGAATTTTACAGATACAAGTTAAAATTTCTAATTGCGCGCGGGAACTTAAACTCTTGAGATTGGTTTGAAAATGACCTGGCATACTTCATCACCAATAAGTAATAATCTATGTTTAAAACTGAAATCAATGAACAATTAATGGCACGTGCAAGTATTTCTATGAAGCAAAAAATATTGGCCATTGAGCATCTATGGTTGAATTTACTGCTACTTTTTCAAAATATTTTTTGAAGCCAGTGTTGTACATTATAATCATGATCTACGGTATTGTGATTGCCAAATACAGTTGAAGCTCGTTGTCTTGAACCCAATTAACATGATTTCACATCACTTTTGGCTCTAAATACTTTTTCACCCATTTACACTCTCCTCTTAGGTATCTAAATAGAACCCTCTGCTATCTTGAACTATTGTTTGCTTTCCTTGAGTGCAAGGTAATGCACTGTAGCCCAGTTTCCCAGGATCACACAGGGTTTTTGCTCTATTACAGTGTAACTCAGGGTTTGAAAAAAGTGCCTTCTAGTCAGCCAGGACAAGTAGATTTTTCTACCGGGCAAGTAACTTTTCATTTCACTTGCCCAATGGGCAAGGGGCCCAGGCAAGTCATCTGCCAACAAGATAAAAAAACAAAGTGACTTACATATGAGACTTGCCCAGGGCAAGCAAAATTTGTGGGCTGTTTGTCCCATAACAATATAGAATTCAAGTGTTTTTGAGCCCTGTCACACACTTGCTCACTCAATCATCCTCTTTGTGCCTGTGAGGATACTGTTCCACCTCATTCTAACTTCATGTAGTCCAGCCCAGGTCTTTTTGGTTGGCCTCAACAGTTCTTCTCCTCATAATCTTCAGTCTGCCGTGCTTCTCTTGCCTTCAGCGGTCCAGATGAGAGCAACTCAACAGTTGGCAGTCGAGAAATGCATAGCCACAGCTGCATTATCAATCTGAGACATGATCGATAATGGATCTCTGTAGATCTCAAGAGCAGCTGGAATTTTTTGGCCCCAACGTCAGTTAATTTGGTCTCGTAGAGTATGTGTTGTGTTTGTTAAGAGGGGCTACATGTACATGCAATTTTGACACATGTTTGTTTTCCTTCACATCTACATTATAGGTCATAGTTCATATGATTCAAGTAATTTATTCCACAGCACGCCCAAAACAAAGGTGAGAAATTATTTCTTTTTATAGAGTAATTTTAGAGGATTTGTTACCAACAGCAAACTTTACATTTATTTTAAACACAGGTAGCATGATAAATATTTCAGCTCCCTGCAGTGTGGCAAAGACATGGCGTACATGTAGTAGACCTCTCTAACTGCTTTGATTCACGTTTTGCTGAACAGATGCAATTAATTTTATCTTTTTGCAATTTCAGCCCATATCTTCATCTTTCTCTTCAACATCACCAAGTATTTACAAACCCAGAACAAGCAACACAAGCTACCAGACAGGTGTTAGTCCATCCCGTGTCCAGCGGAGTAAATCTCCATTGCGTAGCACAAGTCCTGTCCGTCGACCAGTAAGTCCTAGTATACACAGAGCAACAAGTCCAAGACTACACAACAGCTCCCTCTCTCCTACCAGTAAACAGGTTNAATTAAGCTCCTCTAATTCAGTTTGTGTGCTCAGACTATAAATTGTTGATATACATTTGGGCTGACTTTTAAAATTTCCTTTTGGTGTAGGTGTTTGCTCTTGAGAAAAGATCCTCTAGGCTTGAAAGTAAGTGAGACTTATTTTTACGGCTAGTATATACCTAAATACATGTACTGTATGTGGAAGATGCTATTATATGTCGTAATCTATGTTAGGAAGTTGAGGGAGTGAGACATTTTGAAGACAGCACCTCTCTCTCACCAGGAGTGACAACAAGTTGACAAATGAACTGTCCTGCAACAGGAAACTTGCAAAAATGCTGTGTGGCCTTTTTGTTCCAGAGCTGGTGGCCTAAAATTGCCTGGTTTAATAAGCAGGGCTATTATTAACTTTTGAGTCACCTATACCCTGTTCTGCACACCTGTAGCAAACTTGTTACTTTGTGGGTGAATTCTATCAACAACAGGCAATTTCACCCATACCATGAAGGGAAATTCCAGCATACTCAGCCTTAACAGGTGTTAAGGGTTACGGCCCTTAATGACAGCCCTGATAAGCACATTAACACTTGTTAGAGCAGTCCAACATGTGGCTTTTTTGTGAAGGTTTTTTTACAGTACTTATTTCAAGAGCAAAATTTGATTCATGATATACTTTTTTACAACAGGTGAACTTAAAAGTAGAAATGAACAATTGAAAGGAATGCAAGCAAGGTAATTTCTATTATTATACTCATAATGTAATCATTACATATTTTTACATTCAGTGTAGTTGGTAGTTTCAAAGTGTGTCCTACAGTTTATATATCAGAGTCGACATTTAATTCTGTTGTGAATAGAGGCATTTAACACCAGAGTTTTCACGTTAATGACAAATGGCGAACAGCAGTTTCAGGTTAGGTGTTTGACATTTATATGTTAGTCCTCTCCCAGTTTAGCTACGAAAGCATGTCACAACAGTTATTTCACTTGAAGAGGCCACCATGTTTAATTTCCAGGCAACAGTGGTGTATGATTTTCACTCATTTGCTAAAAATTACAATGTTACTAAACTTGACCCTGAAAGGACTGGTTTACTGATTAAATAACTTTCTTATTAGTATGTGGCATAAACAGAAATTCAGGACAAAAAAGGACTGCTAGGGCTTAATTGGTCTATTTTCTTCTCGAGGCTTGCCCATTGTCTTTCTGCTGAAAACTGTGGTGCTATATATCAGTTTAATGAGTTACATAATGTGCATGTACAGTTGTACTGTGGACCCCTGGCACAGTAATATTGAATATTTACATGTAGTTGATATTACGTGATTGTGTAAGTTTGACCTCTGACCTTGAAATTCCCTGATGTAAATTTGTATCACAGCTACATTTACATGTACATCATAACATGACTATGTAACTACCGCATACATGTATGGTACTGATGTGAAGCTAACTCTGTTTTAAGGCTAAAGGCTTCAGAAACAGAAGAAAAGAACAAAGGCAAAGAACTGGAAGATACTCAGGTATGGAACTGAAGATAGAGCAAGTTCTGCTCTCAGTCATAAAGTACAATATTATAGAATTAAACCAATTTTCCATTCTCTTTTTGTCTATAGCTCCAACTTCAACAAGTTTCTGAGCATGCAAATACTTCACTTCACCAGGTGCAGGAACTTGAAGTAAGTTTTCTGTTTATTCTTGTATGTAGTTCTTAAAGAATAATGATTTGGCCTGGGTCATTTGAGTTTTCAGAGGCTCTCAATATTTGCTTTGAACAATCCTTTCTGTACTTGTATGATTTACCTTTATAGTCGTTGCCAACAGATGCAATGTTATTGATTCCTGTTATTCTTAGGAGAAGAATAGTGCTTTAACGTCATCCATGAGAGAGTTATCAAACACAATAGGACAGCTTCAAGCCAGAGAGCAGGAACTTTTAACAAAACTTAAACTTAAGGTATGTTACAAAGTATGTGCTATTTTTCCTAAGGTGTGGCCTTGTCATCATATCAAAGAACTTGATCATGTTTATGTACTTGCACTGAAAAGTTTATTATAGTTCAGTGGCACATCTAGGGGAAGGCCTGGGGGACCAAGCCCCCCTTATTTTGGGTAAAAAAAGAAGAAATCACAGAAGGACGAAAAGCCAGCAGGGCAAGCAAAACAC